AGCGTACAACAAGTTAGAGAAATATATATTAACCATTGGCACGCTTGCTTTAGCTCAAAAAAAGCCTAATTTGAAGGTGATAATAAAGATTTGTTTCAAAATACATACTTTTTTTTAATCAATTTGGGTCAAATGTGATCAGATTGTAAGAACCTATATCATGCCACACCTCCTTTAACATGTTAAATACTATGGCGTTCCGACTTTCTTGTATAGTTTCATCCTTACATACGAGAATGCTTATGGACGTGCATACATTCAAAGCGTGTAGCAGTGCAGTACGCACTCGAAACAAAACAAAAGCTTTTCACATTTCTTCGACTTTAAAGTTGCGTCATTAAGATGAGACTTGGCGATCTTAGCAAAGCTCTAGGAGAACCAGAATGCAATGTTTACATTTTAAACAAGTCGGATTCCCCTACTTTAAAATATTATGCCTATATAATACCTATATGTAGAAATATTAATTAATTAATTAAAATTTACATAATTAATAATACTTTAAAATATTATGCCTATATAATACCTATATGTAGAAATATTAATTAATTAAATAAAATGTACATAATTATGTATGTCAAAGCAGCAACAAATACAGCTGCGGCTATAACTTTCCTTCTGATCAACCTATCATAATGAAACTTGGTATACGGATATATAATCACTAACTGGAGTGTGGGGGTGCATCAGAAAAAATTAACAAATTTGTCCTTTCTCGGGCTCTGAAGAATCTGGATACCAAGTTTGGTTATTCTAGCACTTATACTTTCTGAGATCCTTGCGTTCGTTCATACAGGCAGACGGACATACAGACGGACATGGCTATATCGACTCGGCTTGTCATCCTGATCAAGAATGTATATACTTTGTGGGGTCTGCGTCTGTGTGTTCCATGTACACTCGCACAAAACTAATATACCCTTTTACCCTTTGGGTACAGGGTATAAATATGAAATCTATACTAATACTAGCAGGTCTTGCCCGTCTTTGCTGGGCTAAGTAAAATGTACTTATAATTATAAGTTAATTTACTATATGATATTCTTCTTTCGACGCTCTCTTAAGTTTTTTAAAGAGTTAATTTTCCAAATAGCAAATATAGTACAATCGGCTCAGGGTCAGATTCGACCGACTTTTTTTCAAAACACACCTACTCATATTGTCGGCTGGGGGACGCCTGTGGAATTTGGGTGGTGTGCTGGCTACTTTGGTGTCATGTAGATGCGTGGCCCTCCCTACCTTGAGCCGGTATTGGCATCTTTTGCCGGCTCCCTTAAATGACCTTGCTTTGGTTTTCCTTCTGCTCAGTGACTTTTGTCACCCCATCTCACCCCATAAATGGTAGCACTTATCCTCGCACCTCACGCACGAGTACTCGGTGTTGGTATCGGCGCGCGCCAGCTGTTAATTGCGCGAGTTGCCATCCCCTTCGTCTGACGCCATTTGAGGTTTCCCAATACTGACGCGTCGTACATAACAGTACATATCATCGTTATGCACCGGGCGGACTGCCAGTCCTGACTTAACTGTGTGCTTCCTCATCACGTTGTACGCAAGGTCGAGTTATCCCCGAAAAGTCCGACGCGGGACCTTTAATTTTGATTTATAAATCGGGACGTCCCGGCAAAAGTGGAGCGTTCGGCAACGCTGATATGTACATACAAATACATTTTTCATGCAGGTGTTATCCGCCTATATACATACATACATAAGTCGCTGTAAATATGCGATCAGCTGAGATGCTAGAGATGGGCATGTGTCGGATGCTCTATGTGCTAGAGCATCAAAACTATCGATAGTTGAATCCGTCGATACAATCAATAATTCCATCGTAGTTTGAATGCAATTAACAGAAAATTTAAATAATATCTTATAATTTATTGAGATCAATTAGAACAAATCATATACAAACATACATATGTACATATGTAAACTGCCCGCAACGCGGTTTCTGCTTTACTATCGCTTACGCAGTCGTTGCCTAGCGACGGTAACTGTAAACTTTTGGCATTTTGCCTTTAAAATTAACAGGCGTAAATGATCAATACGAAAGAAGAAGCGCGAGCCAATGACTTGCAGTTGATGTTGTTTTTCGTTTTAAAAATTTGATTTAAAACCATAGAACATTATTTATCACAATCAAACAACAGTGCTCGATTGTCCAATGTATACATACATACATACGAATGTACATACATATGTACATATGCATATGTACGTACACAGGCATACATACATACATATGTATGTACATATGCATGCATGCATGTTTCTCTTTACTTTTTCAACCGTACGTAGAGAACCGCACACATCGACACGAACTGTTGCTTGTTCTGTGTGTGAGTGTGTGTATATGATGTCTCCAACTATTTCATATTTGCGTTATTTGTAATTTGTTGTTGCTGCATGAAGTTACTAATGAAAACCCTAATGCCAAATATACTAAACAAAGAAAAAATTACTTTTAAAAATATTAAAAAATTTTTAATTAATTAACATTTACATATGTATGTGTGTACATTCACACATTAGTGTCTCACATTTTGCTTTGGCTATATCAATCGTTTGCACGCAACTACACGAACAGCTGCTTGTATGTGTGTGTATACTTAGTTGTCCCCAACTGTTTGATATTTTGTATTGTTTCTCCTGCCTGCATTTGTAAAATGCATATTTTGAAAATCCTTGAACGCAAAGTTGTAGAATTAGTTACGTTAATTACAGTCCCCAATCGATCGGAGAAAATTTATAACACAAACTTTTTTCATTTGAAAAGGTGAATAAATATTAATACCCCAATAATTCAAGCTCCACCACAAATTTCGTGTACGCAGTTTTGTTTGTATTCTCTTATAGATTATAAAAATCAAATTTAAAGTTAATCGGTGCAGAAATGCAGAATTTTCAAACAAACTTGTGGAGTTCGTTTTCCCCTCTTTATAGCTTGAATTTTCCAAAATCCCTTCTTAGTGGGCACCTTCACTATGATAGGATCCATGAGCCCAAATTTCAGCTTCATAGTTTTTACTATGACGGTTAACATGGGCTATATTATATTTGCTAAAAAGAATGGAATCCTTACTAAAATGCCAATAATGTAACCAAAGGTATAAAAAAATTACCTTAAAAACTCCTGAATAGCATGTTAGTTCATAATCATCCTCGAAACATTGTCACTTTAAATATTTAGGCAATATTATTCAAAAGCCCCCAAATCGATCGACACCGTGATTAATATTAAAGGCATTTAAATTCACTAAACCTTTTTGGACTGCCGCCACATGAATTGACAGTAAAATTCGGAATTGCAATCATGCTTTTGAGAAATTAAAGCCTTCCAAGCATGTGCAATGGGACGAGGCTGTGTAATAAGGAATTGCAGGACAATTTAAGTGTAGCAATTATTATCAACGGCCCAGCAACTGCTCAACTAGCTCATATAACGAGGATACCGATGCTCCAATTTGATAATTTATATGGCTTCAATTTCCGGTAGTCCCAAGGCCAAGCCTTCGAATTAGTAGCGATCGACATACGAAAGCAATGTTTTACTGTATGTTGAGCTATCACGAGTCGGAGCTCCTGAAAATCAATTTATTTTGCAGCCACAAACTAAAACATCAGATATCTTTACCAGAGAACCTCTACGTAATAAAGAATAACAAAAAAATCTAAAAACGAACAAAAAATAATTAAAATAATAATATCCAAAATAAAGTTCACTTATTAGTAACTCATAGCAAAAAGTATGGTGTATCTGTGTTAAGTTTGTGTGTGTTATAAAATGTATAATTTTTAAAATTTATCTAAAAATACCAGTGCGAAGCAGGGGCAGGACGCTATAGGTGGAAATTATAAACATTGAATATTCCAAGAATTACGGGAATTATGAAAAATTAGTAATAACGGGCTAGTGCGGGGTGGAGCAGAAAAAATGAACAAGCTTGGTCTGTCTAGTGATTAGGGGAACCTGGAACCTTTCGTTCATACAGACGGACATGGCTGCATCATTTCGTTTTCTCAGTTTAGTTAGTTTGCTCTTTTATCCTTTGGGTTCAAATGTAAACTCGCTCTTTTACACACTTCACAGAACATGTGTAACTCTAGTTCTTAAACTTTCCAATATTCCTGACCTGATCCTATTCTGTCTGGCAGATTTTGGCAATCCGATCTAGAAATATATATACTATACATAGCTATAGACTTTGTGGGGTACCGCCATGCAGTATTTTTTTATTTTTTTAAATCTTCTTTTACTGGCTATAAAAGTCACAACGCCTTCTGTGACGTCATTCAAAGAGAACGCCGAATGCGCTATGAATTTCAGTGTCGTACCATGTACATTGTATCCATGAATATATATGAAAATACATACATACGTATGCACAAGCCGGTACCATAGTAAGATTTGCTAAAGCAAACAGCTTAGTAAATATTTGCCACACAAAATATCAGTAGCTCTTACATATGTATTAATTGTGGCTGTATATGTATGTACATATGGATGTACTTGAATATAAAAACACATACATATGTATGTATGTATATACATATACAAATAGAAATGTATGGTAGTTTATAACTTCGCACATTTAGTAAATGTATGTATATACATATGTACATATATACATACATATATATGTGTGTACCAGAACGGCTACATTGACGTAGTGTAAAGGTAAAGCAGTGATGCCATACACAGTTGTTAACCTTAAAAACCACATGCCGAGAACGTCAACTAAAACCAGCGATAGGTGAATGGCTACCTTTAGTTTTACATACATACATACATACATATGACATATAAAGACGTGTAGTATATTACGTCTACGTGAATCAGATCAGGTGTACTGTACATAAGTATGTACATATGTACGTATGTGTATAATTTATTCCATGTGTGTAAAGTAAAACAGTAATTTGTCATAATTAAAAATCAATTAAGAAATAAAAACTAATAAGTCAAAATATATGGTATTTGCGTAAATGTACATATGTACCTATGTATACTGGTATGTACGAAAGATAAGATGTATTGTCTTTAGAAACTGGATTTTGGATCGTAGTCTACTATTTGGTTTTTAACGTGATTTCTGATTGGTTTTGTTTACAACTGTTTGTTAATTTGAGATACATATGTATGTATGTATATCGCTTAACATAGTTTGAAGTTTCACTGTTGATTATTTCAATTCAAAAGTGGCGCGCACGAGTTATAATACCAGCAACATGGGCTTATTGAACACAGTGTGAAACCGCAAAACCGACAGTCGACCACAACGCGGCGTCGATAAAATGAGCACTAAGCTCGGTGATGCTGTGAATACTGCAATTGTTGCGTGGTTTGCCTGTTGGGTGCCTCCCCTCGCTCGCTCTTTGGCGACAGTTGCGCGCACGCTTAGATTTTTGTGCATAAATCTTTGGATGCTTAGTTTTTCTTGTACATACTTCATATGAACATATAAACGTACATATGTATGTATGTACATATGTTTATATACATTTCAATAAATCGGGATTGTGTCTATGTGTCAGAACAGAGCTTAGCCAGAGCACCAACAGCAACAGCAGATACCGGCAGATATTGCGTTTATGGCTATAACTGCGTTTACAGCTGACCTATCATAATGAAACAAAATAGTGCAAAATTTGTGCAAAATTTTGGTGTCTTTAGCTCTTTTGCCCATCTCTGTTTGTGTCTGTGAGTGTGTCACTGTGTAAGTGTGTTTATGTGATGTCCCTAACTGTTTGATATTTTGTGTTCTTTGTTATTTATTGTTGCTGCATATGGCAAGTAAAAAACATATTCTATATTTCGAAAATCGTTGAATGCCAATTTGAAGATATAGTTATGTTTTCTTTTATGGGTCGCGAAAACCACATTTGATCAGTGGAAAACTGGAGATTTTTCAAATATACTTTGGAGCTAGCTTTCCCCCTTTGGAGCCCGAATTTTCCAGTTAGTGCCCACCTACGCTATGATAGGATACTTGAACTCAAATTTTAGCTTTCTAGCTCTTACCGTTTGGGTTGTTGACGCGGATCCTTTTTGTGCCCCAAGATAGCCCCAATAATTCAGTCTCCAAGAAAAAATTTAAAAAACCGAGTTTTCAGTTTTATTTGTATTCTTTTATTGACTTTAGAAACCAAGTTTTAAGTCGGTTGGTTGAAAAATGTTGAGTTTTCATACAAACGTTGAAGCCTGTTTCCCCCCTTTCGAGTTCGAATTTTCCAAAATCATAGTGGGCACCTACACTATGAAAGGATACTTGAGTCCAAATTTCAGCTTCATAGCTCTTGCCGTTTGGGCTGTGGGCTGTTGACGCGGTTTCCTTTTGTGCCCCATTTTTTTCAGGAAAATATATATTTCAGTCCCCAAAAAAATTTAAAAAAACCAAGTATACAGTTTTTCTTGGAATTTTTCTGAGAGTATACAAACTATGTTTGAAGTTAATCAGATGAAAATTGTAGATTTTTCATACAAACGTTGGAGCCGGTTTTCCCCCCTTTGGAGCTCGAATTTGCAAAATCCCTTCTTAGTGGGCACCTACACTATGAAAGGATACTTGAGTCCAAATTTCAGCTTCCTAGCTTTTACCGTTTGGGCTTTGCATTGAATACCAATCAGTCAGTCAGGACAAGTTGTTTTATATATATAGATTCCCTATATACTCCGAAGCCGCTGAGCCGATTTTGATCAAATTTTGTGGATATATTCAAAATAGTTCACAGTGCACCTGTGAAGTATCGTAGCAAGGTTTCCGCCTTGAAATACAAGGTGTGTTCCAAAGTAAACAGGACTTTTAAAAAAACAAGTATGGAAGCTAAAGTCGGGTATTCCGACTTTGAAATACTCTGTACATATGTGTAGAATAATTATGCGTGTATGTGTGTATTTGTATGTGTCTGTGTATGTCTCGTGTGCCTGAGCAAAGCAGTAACAACAACAGCTGCGGGCACTAATGTACATATATGGCTAAACCTTCCTGTTAAATCGGTATATCATGATGAAACTTGGCATTTGGACTTATAATAACTAAATGGAGTTATTTGCCAAGTTTGAAATTCCAAGAATTACGGGAGTTACGATTTGCGGGGGAGAGTGGGGAGAGAGGGAAATTACAAAATACACATTTTCTGCGTATTCATATAAGGCATCTGGGACTAAAATTTGGTGTCCCTAGGTCTTATAGTCTCCGAGATATAGGCGATAGTACGAATGGAAAATCGGGTAAACGCCCATAGGGGGTAAGTGTGTGTGTGTGTGTGTGTGTGTGTGGGGGGGGGGGGGGGGGGGGGGGGGGGGGGTAATCAAAAAAATAAAACAAACTCGTATAGAATACACACATAACGCATCTTTGTGCAAAATTTGGTGTCTGTATCTCTTATAATCTCTGAGATCCAGGTGTTCATACGGACGGACAGACAGACAGACGGACAGACAGGGCTAGATCGACTCGTCTCGTCATGCTGATCAAGAATATATATACTTTGTGGGGTCTGCCACGCCTCCTTCTGCCTGTTACATTTTTCAGCTCCCGCAAACCTAATATACTCTTGTACATTTCATGTACAGAGTATAACAAGAGAGAACGCTACAGTCGAGCAAGCCCGACAGCGCCCATAGCAGAAGTAAAAGAGGAAGAAGAAGAGCGAACTTGTTGCTGCAGTTTGGGGGTTGTACTGTAGGAAATTGGTTTCGCTAATAACTTTTCTTAGAATTAACCGATTTAGATGAAATTTGAAACAAAAGTAGTATTATGTATAAATTATGTGTGCAAAGTTTGGTTAATGTAAATTTGTTAAATGTGGATGGTATTGACGAAATTCTGTAGCGGGGGAAGGGGGGAAAAATTCCAAGAAATAAAATAAACTCGTCTTTTCTCGGACCTAGGAGAATCTGGATACCAACTTTGGTTGTTCCAGCTTTTATAGTTTCTGAGATCCTTGCGTTCATCCAGACAGACGGACAGACAGACAAGGCTAGATCGACTCGTCTTGTCACGCTGATCAAGAATATATATACTTTGTGGGGTCTGCCGCTCCTCCTTCTGCCTGTTACATTTTCAGCTCCCGCAAACCTAATATACTCTTGTACATTTTATGTACAGAGTATAAAACAGAACAAATGGTTTTTTTTGGCAAAATCAATTTATTTTATTCAAAATAGTCTCCTTCTGCTTCAATACAGCTTTTTCCACGATCCAAAAGCAGAACGAGTGTTTTAGCTCGTTGGCCGGTATGGCCGCCAGTATGCCGGTGCAAGCCTCACAGTTTCGATGGAATTTTCGGTGATCACGAATTTTGATTGGCCCACATGTAGATCGTCATTTATGTCCTCACGACCACTTTGAAAACGTTGAAACCACTCGTGCACTCTGCTACGGGATAGGCAATCATCGCCATAAACTTGTTCCATCAATTGAAACGTTTCGGTAAAAGTTTTACCAATTTTAAAATAAAATTTAATGTTGGCTCTTTGTTCGAAGCTCATTTTCGCACCGATAACACAAACATACTGACAATTAAAACGCAATAATTTCACTTCCAATCGATGAAATGTCATGAAATTCTCACTGGACAATCGATAAAGATAGCAGATTCTAACGCACCAGTCGACATATAGATAGCGCCACCAGGGAGCGCTAGATTCAAAATTTCTGTGGCAGCCCTGGGACACACATAGCTGATGAGCGAACCGGTGCAGCCGCAATCGTTGTAACCGTGGCATCAGGGAAGAAGAAGAGACTTTTCTCGGAAGATATAAAACTTACACACATTGTAAAAGTCTCTCCAGATTAATAAAGAATATATTAAGTTAGAACTTGAGTTTAAATGGCTTAACAAAGCCAAAGTGGTGACCCCAACTTTAAGAATCAACTGTTCATGCCAAACAATCGCTACTTTTTGCGCTCCACAACTAACGAACAACGTGCAAGTAACGCCGAACAATTTTACGACCCTGAATGAAGAGATTCAGGAGTTGAAGGTGCAACTGCAACTACTTCAATTATCAGCTCCACAATCCCCCACACCAAGTTCGCAACATTGTCCACAAATAAACATTCCAAATTTTAACAAAGCCAACGCGCAACTATGGTTTGCACAATTGGAACGCATGTTTAATTTACACAATGTTATAGCGGACGATCGTAAATTTGACTTGGTGTCAATACACCTGAATGAGGATGTGGTTTTGGCCGTCGAGGATCTCATAACACAGCCGCCCCTTACTAACAAGTATCCGGCGCTAAAAATACGACTGCATGAGGCATTCGGCGAGTCAGAGGACTCCAAAATCAAGCGGCTTTTACAAGGCCATGATATGTCTGGGAAAAGCCGTCAGAAATCTTAGCACACATGCGTCGCCTGGCACCTGTCAATGGTTGTGAAGCCATTAACCGTAACCTTTTCCTGGCTGAGCTTCCAGCGTCAATTCGCCCGTTCATTTCTGTTTGGGAGGAAACTGACCTCAACAATTTGGCAAAGATAGTAAACAAAATGCTGGAAAATAGCACCTCAACATACATAATGTCATTACAAAACAACGCCGCTGAGCTGTCGGCTAATCTGGAAGCGGTAAGTAGCAACAAATCCAGCCTTACAGACGTTGCTGCCGCTTTGCAAACCCTTTCACAGAAATTCGACAAGCTAAAGGACGAACTACGCAAATCGAAGCAGCCTTGGGTCTGGGCTGTTTATTCAAATGGTCCTTTATTGTCGCTGATGTCCAGAACGCAATAATTGGCGCTGACTTCCTAGCACAGTTCCATCTGCTAGTCGACATTAACCAACAACGTCTCATCATCTCAACAAACAACGCTTCCAGCAACCCATCGGGCAACTCGCAGGCTATCCTGAGCTGTGACGTAAATCAACATGAGACACGTTCTCAAAGAAACGACGTGGATGCAGAAAATATGACTGCACTAGAGAGTACATGTGATGGACATGGAGTCCGCCACTATATTTTAACATCTGGAGCACCTGTGGCAGATCGGCCCAGACGGCTGATGGGCGAAAAACTTTTGGCGGCAAAATCACAAATTCATCAACTAATCGATGGCAAAATTTGTCGTTATTCCAAAAGTCCCTGGGCGAGCCCGCTTCATTTGGTGGCAAAACCTGATGGCGGGTGGCGCGCATGTGGGGACTATCGCAAGTTGAACGCAGTAACAGTTCCTGATCGTTATCCGATACCACATATTCATGATATTGCTGACCGCCTGCACGGCAAAAAAATTTTCACAACACTCGACCTAGAACGAGCATACTATCAGATTCCAATGGCACCAGAACACGTTGAAAAAACAGCAGTGTACATACCGTTTGGATTGATTGAATTTTTGAAAATGCCGTTTGGGCTCAAAAATGCTACACAAACGTTCCAACGATTCATGGATCAACTCTTTCGTGGAATCGACTATGTATTTTGCTACATTGATGACATTCTTATTATATCAAGCTCAACTAAGGAGCATACGCAGCATGTCAATAGAGTTCTCAGCATCTTGAAAACAAGATGGCCTTAACAAGTGTCAATTTGGATTGTCTGAAGTTTGTTCATTGAGCTACATCGTCAGCAGCAAAGGCATTAAGCCCTCCGAAAATCGAATAAAAGCAATCACACAATACACTCGGCCACAAACCATCTGCGAACACATCCTAGTCCACATGCAAATCTGAGCTTGACTGGTGATGCCTCGGACACAGCCATTGGCGCAGTATTGGAACAACACAATGAAGGTATTTGGGAGCCTCTTAGTTTCTTTTCCAAAAAACTGAGCGCAACAGAAAGCAGATACAGCACATACGATAGGGAGCTGTTAGCAATTTATGAGGCAATTAAATATTACAAGCACATGCTGGAGGCACGAATCTTTATCATCAAGACAGATCATAAGCCACTTATACACGCCTTCGCTCAGAATCCGGAGAAGGCATCAGAGCGCCAATTACGGCAATTGGGTTTCATCTGTCAGTTCTCCACAAACATTTTGAATGTGAGCGGAACTGAAAATGTAGTGGCAGACGCTTTATCTAGGATCAATGCCATCACGATGCCAACTATGATGGATGCAAAAAGCATCGAAGCGGCCCAGTTATCAGACAACGAGTTGCAAGACATCTTAAACGGCCACACCACACTTAAATTAAAGCGTGTTCAAATCGACAATCAAGTTTATTTGTACTGTGATGTTGCTACTGGAACAAAGCGTCCCTATATTCCACAAGTGCTGCGACTCAATGTAGTTGCAAGAGTTCATGGCCTGTCACACCCGAGTAGCAGATCCTCACTGAGATAGATTTGTAGGAGTTACGTATGGCCGTCAATGCGAAAGGATATTTTGAAGTGGTCAAGAAATTGCCTACCATGTCAGCGAGCTAAAATTCACAGGCACAATTCTGTGTTGCCAAACAAAATTACTGTTCCTGATGGTAGATTTGACCATATACATCTTGATATTGTGGTCATACCCCTGGTTGACGGCTATAGATACTGCCTCACTATTATTGACAGATTTTCTCGCTGGCCGGAGGCTGAACCTATCAAAGACATGACAGCAGAGATTATCTGCGAGGCTCTATGGACACGCTGGATATCGCGTTTCGGTTGCCCATTGACGATCACGACCGATCAAGGGTCACAATTCGAGTCTGCACTCTTCAGGTTACTTGCAAAAATGACTGGTAGCGGACACATCCATACCACCCACAGTCAAACCGGATGATTGAACGTTGGCACAGATCAATGAAAGCCGCTTTAATGTGCCACCCGGAGGTACCATGGACCAAATACTTCCAACTGTTATGCTTGCGCTCCGCACCTGCTTTAAGGAGGACCTTCAGTCATCTGCCTCGGAAATGTTGTATGGATGTACACTTCGACTTCCAAATGAGTATTTTTATGACCTGGACGTCCCATCGGACCCACGTGAGTTCGTCAGCCAATTCCGTAGCAGCATGCAGGCGGTGAGACCAACTCCAGCATCATATCACATAAAGCCAAAACTATTCCTGCTGAAGGATATTCATAGTTGCTCACATGTTTTTGTACGCAACGATGTTGTCAAGCCACCTTATTCGGGACCACACCAGATTATATCCAAGCCAAGAAACGGCCGTGTCGATTGACAGGCTCAAACCCGCATTCATGGCAATTGAGGAAACCGTTTCGATGAACCAAACTTCGCTACTTAGAACATATGAAAGAAAGATACATCAAACCAACCCTCATAATCCGTGACTTGTCTGGAGAGGAGTACTGTGGCAGCCCTGTGACACACATAGCTGATGAGCGAACCGGTGCAGCGGCAATCGTTATAACCGTGGCATCAGGGAAGAAGAGACTTTTCTCGGAAGATATAAAACTTACACACATTGTAAAAGTCTCTCCAGATTAATAAAGAATATATTAAGTTAGAACATCGCACATACGCCTGCCTGACACGAACGAGCACTCGGCAGCGGCTCACAAATACCCGCAGCAACATTCCTTATGGGCACATTTTACGAACCCTGGTTATAATTCGTAAAGGAATTATTCAACATTCAATTCCCCTTAAAACAATTGTAAGGCATGGATGTCAATAAGGAAAAACTTGTATATTTTACAATTTACACATTTTCGATACTTTTTCAACTAACTACCATTTATCTCTATACGTTTTAATCAACATATTTATATCCTTGTTCATGCAGTTGTATTTTAGACGAAGATGATCATCATGGGAGCTCAAATTTTCGATCCCATGATGAAACATTACCTCTATCACAAGCAATTGCTCATACAAAATGTTCTGGTTGACACCAATTGTGGCGGCACAGGTGTCCAGAAGCCAACGAAAAGAGCAGGGAAACATTGTCGTCAACTCCCGCATGTTGTTATACGAGAGTTTTCCCACGCAGCCATGCAACAGCCAGCAATCAAAGTTAGATATTTTCAATGTCAGTTCTTGCTCGGATTGCCGCTCTACCTGCGGCTGCTCGCTGGGCGCGTTGTCCTTGTGTTTTGGTTCCTTCTGTGGTGTTACTTGTATGGAAGACTGTTGACTTAGATAGCGACGAGGGTGTGCTAAGGGAACACGCAATGGCTCCATGTTCGATTCATTGAATATTTGAATGGAATGCAAATCATTCAGTGGCACTCGCTCCTGTCGCAACTGCATTAAAAACTTTGGTGAAGCTTTTATGTCCCAAAAGGGATTAGCTGACTCTCGCATTTGCCTCCGTTGTGCGCGCTCTAAGAGTTTCTTCTGATATTGGCTGCCATAATTAGAGTTGGGCAAACGGAATTTTAAATCGGAGTGTTTTCTTTTACGCTGCAGGTCGTCTAACCAAGTTTGTGTTTTGATAATACAATTTGCCTGAAGCTGGCCATGCATTGGTCGCTGCCTTTCAACGCGTTGAAAAAGTCCTATAACTTGGCGTTTCGAATGACTGTCAAGCTCTTGAACGAGTAGGTGGCAATCGAACTTGTTCAAATACTGTTCCACCTTAGCGGTCTGCTTCTTGAACGGATCCAAGTCGCGCTCTAAGTGGTCCACAAGCATATAAGGTGGTATGTTTACTCCCAACGCATTATCCTTTGCTTGAGCAGCATGAAGGAGCAAGCGCTTAAAGTAACTATGGGCAGGAGTCAAGCTGGGCTGGAATTCAATGTGATCCTTAAGAGGACCATTGCTGGTTGATTCGCCAAAATGCTGCTTAAGCATCGTTTCAAATATGAGACAAAGGTTTTCTCGCTTCCGCTGCATAGCCGGCGTTAGCAGCATTTCATTGAAGTTGTACTCCTGCTCTCTTTGCTTCCGCTCCTTTTTGAGATAATCGTCAACTTTGCGACTTTGGTTCATAGCTATACCAAAGCGGCGCGCAAAACTTTCATTATAATGGGACACAAGTGCCTTTCGCAGCTCCACAAATTCCATCCATTCTGTGAATACAAAAAGTAATGACGGGGTCTTGGTGTCCGTTGCGTTCAATTGGCAAAGTTGCTTATTTATTTCAGCTGCTGACTCGGATATCGCACGCTCCTTCACATCATCCAGTCCAAACAACAGCTTCAGTGCATATATAATGTAGGCCATAACACGCGCCTCGTACTGCGGATAAACATGAGGCCAGCGCGCGTTAATAAACCTGGGCGGCAGCATATTTATAAGATCAATAACGTAGATCGCTAAGGCTGGAGGCAGGTTTAGCTCTAAGACATAGCGCTGAGCTAAAGCTTCTAAGTCCGGTACTTGGTAGCCGCTCATACCAATAAATCGCGATAATTGCGAAATATTTGTTCGAAAATACTGAAAAAAATTAATGAGATTTTATCTTTTAAAAATAATTATAAACTATTAAATAAATTTTTTTTTTAATATCTATATCCTTTACCCGTTGGGTAAAAAGAGTATATTAACTTTGTGCAAAGTATGTAGCAGGCATCAGAAAGCTAAAGAAAATAGCGAAAAACCAAGTATACACTTTTTATACTCTGTACATGAAATGTACAGAAGTATATTAGGTTTGCGGGAAGTGAAAAATATAACAGGCAGAAGGAGACGTGGCAGACCCCACAAAGTATATATATTCTTGATCAGCATGACAAGACGAGTCGATCTAGCCCTGTCTGTCCGTCCGTCCGTATGAACACCTGGATCTCAGAGACTATAAGAGCTAGATACACCAAATTTTGCACAAAGATGCTATATGTGTGTACGCCCTCTCACAGTGAAAGTGAGCACTAAGAAGGGATTTTGGAAAATTCGAGCTCCAAGTGGTGGAAAACGGGTTTGTATGAAAAATCTAAAATTTTCATCCGATTTACTTCAAACTTAGTTTGTATATTCTCATAAAGAATACAAACAAGTAAAAAAGCTTAAGTCGGGTGTCCCGACTTTGAAATACTCCGTACATATGTTTAGAATAATTATAGAAATTAAAAAAAGTAAAAGAATTAAAAAAAAATTTTTTTGGATCGATTTTACCTCTTTTGGTATTCGTACTCACGTAAAGGGTGTATAATTGCACATATACAAAGCAATTGCGTCTATGTGAGTGTATGTATGTTTATGCTCGAATATTCGTGTCTGTGTAAGCATGTTCGCAGTCAACAAAAGCACCAGCATCAACAGCCGCGGGAAGCGCTTGAGCAGCGCTGCAGCAGCAAATATATTTATGGCTATAACTTCTTGTTAAATCGGTCTATCATAGTGAAACTTGCCACACGGACACATAACCAACTGGGGGTATTTGCAAAATTTTAGTTCGAAATTCCAAGCATTACGGGAGTTAGAGAAAATCGCGATTTGCGGGGGAGAGGGGGGAGGGAGGGAAATTCAAAATATACATTTTCTGCATATTTACACAAGGCATCTTGGACTAAAATTTGGTGTTTCTAGGTCTTATAGTCTCCGAGATGTAGGCGATTATACGAATGGAAAATCGGGAAAACCCCCATAGGGGGGAAGTGGGGGGAAAATCAAAAAAAATAAAACAAACTCGTATAGAATACACACATAAGGCATCTTTATGCAAAATTTGGTGTCTCTAGCTCTTATAGTCTCTGAGATCCAGGTGTTCATACGGACGGACAGACGGACAGACAGGGCTAGATCGACTCGTCTCGTCATGCTGATCAAGAATATATATACTTTGTGGGGTCTGCCACGCCTCCTTCTGCCTGTTACATTTTCAGCTCCCGCAAACCCAATATACTTCTGTACATTTCATGTACAGAGTATAAAAAAAAAACTTGACCTGCCTAGGGCTCAGCGAAACCTGGATACCAAGTTTGGTCATTCCAGCTCTTGTACCTTCTGAGATCCTTGCGCTCATACAGACGGACGGACGGACATGGTGATCAATAATATATATACTTTGTGGGGTCTATAATGAACCGCAAAAAGCACATTATTTTTTTATCAATGCCATAATATTGCAATTACAGCCATTGATGTGCTTTTATTTTTGATTTTAATTATGATTTCCCTTTTCGTAGCTGTGAAATGATATCCCCGACCCATTCTTAACCTTGTACCAATATTAAGAGGAAAATTGTACAAGAATTTTTATTTTTAGCTTACCCTTTACATATAATGTTAAAATAATACCTAAATAAGTTTTATGTGCGCTTTTCAGTGCACTATTTTTCCATGAAGTGTATGCGTTTATATTATTTTTTCCAACCCAAAAACGTGGTCATCTAACAAATCAGAGCACACAGTAAATATTTCTGCCGAAATACGTGTTAAAACGAAATCACAATGAAGTACCTATAACCAATTATCGTGCATAGAAGGAATTAGGGATCGAAGTTTTTACTGAAAGGAAGAGTCGTTTCTTTTATTTTTCCCATCTTTGTATATATTGAAAAATTTTAATTTTATTTTATTATTAATTTTAATTTTTATACTCTGTACATGAAATTTTAGTCGAAGATGCCTTTTGTGAATACGCAGAATTTTGGATTTTTCCCTCCCTCCCCCCTCTCCCATGCAAATCGTAACTCCCGTAATTCTTGGAATTTCGGACTCAAATTTTGTATATACCCCCAGTGATTATGTGTCCGTATGTCAAGTTTCACTATGATAGACCGACTTAACAAAAAATTATAGCTATTATATTTGCTGACCAAGCGCTGCCAGTTGTTGATTCTCGTGCTTTGGTTGACTGCAAACATGCTCAGACAGACACGAATAGACATTCATACATGGGAGTGGTAAAGGGTATTTCATTGTCAGGCTGTCTCGACTGTATCTTTTTCTCTTGTTTTTGATATAGAATATATACACTTACATTATATCGGACCTTGTCATCCTGATGGCTCCATTCTAACTCGCTTAGCAGTGCCTTTCCCTGTGCCGCCACATTTTCAGGTAAATAGCCCAACACATAGCGACTAGTTAAATGCTCCTCGTCTATGAGTCGCAGTAGATCGATCAGTTGTATATGGTCGCCAACCATATTGAGCGCTAAAGCAAGGACCGTGTAAAGTTTAGTGCTGAATGCAATGAAAAATTGTGTGCTTTAATATTAGGCTAAATTTAATTCAAAAAGCAGTTGAAAACCTTACATGTTAAGACAGTATATGTTCCGATCAAATAGATTGAGCCTGGCAGCCTTGGGTCGTAGACTATGGCAATGCAACAAGCCTACGTTGTCTGCACTATGTTTCTCCAAATGCTTTAGTGGTAGAAATTTTTTTAACGATTTCCGCGCATTTTGTGACCATTGCAGCTTTAAGCTTTGCGTTGTGTGTGTTGTAGAAGCGGACACTGAACCTGTCGTCGTATATCCAGATTCATCTAGCTTGCGCTACAAGACAATACGAGATGACTGATTAGTTTGTTAATGGTAATTTTAAATAATAATTTTGATTGCATTCAATAAGCGTTCACAGAAAAACGTTAGAACGATTTAAGTCTATTTCATTTTGCTCGCTTTTTTAAATGCATGCAGGAACGCTGTTTCAAAATTTGACATTGTATACTAATAATTGCACACCAACTTTATTTCAGTTGTTGCCTCTTTTTGACCTGCGCATGCTTTTTATTCTATTCAATGTAGCCGAATATATTTATATTTGTATAAACCTTTGTTTTTCTCCATTCTCGCCTGCTGGCCCTCTCATTATGGGGAGGCGCTTCTCTTTGAATCAAGCGTTCGCGCTTGCGTTTACTCGCCCTGTGATTGTAGATAACGCGTGCATCTCTGTGAGTTAATTTACATTACATTATAAAACAATTGTTAAATAATAGTAATTAGGCACCTCACCTGGGTAGTGCACGCACGTTGAGCTTAGGCAGACCCATTTCATTGTTTTTACAAAACGCCACCTCCATTCGGCCCAAATACGCAGCCCAAATCTGAAGTGTCATCAGCTTCAAATCTGGCTTTGCACCCATATTAAGCAACTCATCTAAAAAACCATGTAGAACGTAATTGTAAAATTCCCATGACGTAATTTCGTTCTCTTCGGTTGCTGGATTGGACTTCAGTCTTCTCGTTGATACATGCTTGTTTTTTACTGTTGTGTCGTTGTTATCCTCGGCACCAACTTCCACCGCGCGCAACTGCTCTTTCTGGGTGCCGCATTCAATGCAGTAATAAAAACCTTCGAGCTCCTTAAACCGATGCTCCCCACAAACGGCGCACACGATATTATCTACTTCCATAAATAAATCCATCTTGTTATTGCTGCTCACTTTTAGCCCCACGTGTCGCCTTTTGTAATTTGTCGGTAGGAATTTAGATTTAGAGATGAACAATGATAAGTATTACAGTTCCATAGTAAAAATATAAATATGTATATCGATGTAACAATTAAGTGACACTGGTACTGCAGTGTCACAGCGATTTGAAAGCAAATACATACATATGAATGTGTAATATTTTAGCAATTGACTAATCTCGTTGCCGGTTTTGCTCTTATTGTCACAGATTTGATAAAAACGAAATCAGGAATTGTCATACCTAACCAAAAACAAATCACCGGTATGGAGATATTGAGTTTCCAATGAGCCCTCTATATAATGGCACTTTTGATACATATTCGATAAATATTAATTTTGCTTAACTTTCAGTGATATTATGGCACGTGAGGAAAAATACAGATAAGTACTTGGTGCACTATTCTAATTTCCGAAATATTTATGCGAACTTTAAAAACGGCAAAAATAGATGCACGCACGTGCGTTTATCATTAATATCATTAACATATTTCAGTGAGTTAGGTTCGTGTAAATAAAATGTTCGTATTATATTTATTAAAGAGGAAAACTCTGAAACCAAAGTCGAAAGTCCGACAGCGAAGTACCCTGTACCCACTCCCACAAATAAAAACAAAATTTTAACATTTAACATTGATAACTTCTGCTGAAATATTTAAAACAATTAGATATCTATTTCGCTATGACTAATCACATCAATTTTCTTTTCAAATTCATATTTTCGTTAGCTCCAGCTGTTTTCATAGAAAAATTCTATGCCTACGGCATTGCGTTTAGCACTTCTAGCATTTTAACGACACCATTGCTTTCACAAAAGTATCGCACTGATAGCAGCAGAGAATATCAGTGATACATTTTTCCTTTTGAATGCGCCTAATATTCAGTAGAGCTGGCAAAAATTCGATTTTGCCTACATCGATTTTTTCGAACAATAATATCGATTTAATCGACTTAAATCGAATTATTTGCTTTAACTGAAAGGAGTTTTTCAAACCTAATTTAAATACAAATATAAAATGCTTTCTACTTATTAACAAAGGAACAAAAGATTCAATTGATTTCCATTAAGTATTTAAGTATTTAAGCTAAGTAAATAAAAAACATAAAAACAAAATGCATTGAATTAATTAAATAATAAATCAGAATTCACAGAATTTAATTGGCATCAATAATATCATTAATCCTTCAATTCTTGTTGATAAATAGCAACATATCAACATTTTTTGGATTTAATGAAGAACGGCGGTCGGATATGATTTGTCCAGCTTTGCTGAATATTCGCTCCGATTCTGTGGAAAAAGCAGGAACGCACAAACAGCGAAGTGCGCATGAAGCTAGTGCATTCATTTCGCAGGAATTGTACTGGAAGTGAACTAAAATTAACGGATCATATGGTACTTTCAACCGAAAACATACATACCCGCCAAGTGGATCAGACTGCTCAAGTTCATTCATTTTCTCCATGTATTGTCGGAGAGACAAAATTGCATATACTCTGCTGCTGCGTGCCTTACTCGCAATGGTTTTGTGCATAAAGCTTAACACGGATGGTTGGGCCTCAGCAGCCGCTAGTGGCGGCTCTTTATAAGGTGTTGGCCGGGCTTCTGGAGGTGGCAAAGCTTTTCCAATGGAAGTCAACATGTTTTCAACTAATCTGACGGCATGTTCAGTATTATTTGATGACCGAGATCCCTCCTTTTTAACTCTCGGGTCAAGTATAGTTGCAAGTCGTATTGTGGTGCGCTCTTCAAATTGATAAAGCCTCTTTTTAATATTTTCAATTAAAACCAAACAAGCTTGCTTCCCTTTCTGTCTTCAGATTAGGTTCCTTCTCTATTAGGTTTTGTGCCAGGCCACTTGACAGTGGGATTACAAATGAAATTGTTACTTTGGAGCATGATAATATACGATTGGTGGCATCGTCGAAAGGAGCTAGCAATAATTTTAGGTCCTCTAGTAGGCTTATATCATCTGCTGTTAGAGGTTCTGGAGCCTTTGATATGCTCAAAAGAACTAATGAAATTGACTCTTTAGTTAAGAGACTCGCTCAATCATTGTATAGGCGCTGTTCCATCATGTAGGAACCTCTTTAGGGTGTATGCCTTTTGTCCATTTTGCGCTTGCTTGAACTTTTCATAGGGTATAGTGCTGCTTTTGAGGAAAGTTTCAATGCGCTTGCACTTTGCCAACACAGGTTTTAAAAAGTCGTATGCCAGACGGTCTTGCACTACGAGATTTACGCAATGGGCAAAACATGGAAAATGCCGCTTTTGCAAGATACCACAAGCTTTTATCAATGCACTTGCATTAAAGTGCATTAAAAGTGCGATATTTTGAGCTGAGTGATTTGTGCTGACCAATAATGATGTCGTCGACAGTACTGCTGCGCGTAAAGTGAAGGTCATTAGCCCTCGATCACCAGCAATCTGCTAAAATGGCGCACTGCTCTGCTTTTGCAAGCATACCCTTTAATTTGTCCTTTAAATTGCTGTACATTGTTTCCATATGTCCATTTTTAATTGTGTTTCTGGATGGTAATTCATAACGTGAATCCAGTTCTTTAACAAAATTCCTGAATCCAGCATCCTCAACACTAGAAAATGGTTGGACATCAATGGCATCATGTCTAAATTTTTGTTGCGCATCGAGTCACTTTTGTACTGCTATGACTTTGTAAAATATGTTTTTATAATATTGTCTGGCAGTTCGTTAGTTGACATTCTTTCAAACGAGGGGTGAGACCGCTTTAAATGGTTAAGCATATTTGTGGTATTGCCGCATATTTTGTATTTAGTTCCACATAAAAGACACTTGGCAAATTGACCATCTTTAGCCTTTTCCAAATATCTCCATACCTTTGAACCCTTTCCTTTTTCCCCCGAGAAGTCACTAATCTTGTCATTGCAGCTCGCCACTGATGCATTTTTTTTGGCGCAATCTTAAATTTGTAAGAACAAAATTAACCTGCAACCTGTGTAAGGCTGTGTAGGTACCTATTGAACAATGTAAATATGCATCCATTGAAAATCCGCCAAGACCTTTTGTTTCACTTTGTTTATCTATATTAATTTTACATTGTTAAATATTATAATATACCTACATACATACACTTAAAATGTTTACTTACTCTTTACTTTCGCCTGATTTTAAGTTGTCATGTGAAAATCTTTGACTAATCGCGACTTTTTTTTAAAATCGATGCATCTGCCACTTTTAAAAAAATCGATTTAGCCGAGTTTTACATCGATTTTTTGCCAGCTCTACTAAGCTCTTTCTCAAACGATGTCAACACTCGAGTGTGAGCGAACATGTATTACACGTTGCAAATCTCTATTAGGTACATACATTTGTACGTATGCATGGATATGTGTTCATTTATATAGACACTAGCAGGTCTTGCCCGTCTTTGCTGGGCTAAGTAAAATGTACTTATAATTATAAGTTTATGTACTATAGGATATTCTGCTTTCGACGCTCTCTAAAGTTTTTTAAAGAGTTCATTTTCCAAATAGCAAATATAGTACAATAAGTACTATGTATGGTTATACGTACATACATACATATCTTCGTTACGCACCGGGCGGAATGCCAGTCCTGACTTAACTGTGTGCTTCCTCAGCACGTTGTACACACGGTCGAGTTATCCCCGAAAAGTCCGATTTTGATTTATAAATCGGGACGTCCCGCCAAAATTGGAGCGTTCGGCAACGCTGATATGTAGGTAGGTAGGTCGAAGCGGCAGCCAGGGTATGCACCCCGACTCACTTAGGCCTTGGAGATTGGCCCGTTGTGATACCGCATGGACAAGTCCACTTCCCAAAATACCCGTGTTTGGCTGCATGTCTGCGCGAGTATTACGTCCATCCAGCTGCCTGGATGAACTTGAAAATGTCTATCGGCTTCTTGTTTGCTAGTGCCGATAGATTTGGTAGGAGGCTGTCTCCTAGGAATCGTTGTCTTGTCCTTGACAAGGCCGGGCAGTCGCAGAAGAGGTGTGTTACCGTTTCCTCCTCTTCCACGTCTCTGCAGCTTCTGCAGAAATCGTTATGGTAGAGTCCTAGTCTGGCGGCATGGGTGCCCACCAGCCAGTGCCCTGTGATGGCTCTGATTACGACTGAGCATTGGCTTCTGCTCAGTTTGCAGAGTTCAGAAGATCGTCTCTTGTTGAGGGTTGGCCATGTTTGGCGTGTGATTCTAAAGGAGTCTGTGTCGGTGGTCCACATTTGATTGGCGACCAAGTCAAAGTGGTTTCGGACTGACAGTTTACAGCTGGCCATCGGTGTACCGACGCTCTCCTTGTCTGGAAGGAGGGAGGCGGTGGTACCGTGTCTTGCCAGCTCATCGGCTATGCAGTTTCCCTCGATATCCCTATGGCCTGGGACCCAAATGAGGTATATAGAGAGCTGTGTTGCCATCTCGTGAAGAGATTTGCGACAGTTCTGTACTGACGTCGAGTTCGACGTGATGGCATTAAGGGATTTTATAGCCGCTTGGCTATCCGAGTAAATGCAGATTTCTCTGGTATATGTGGCTGGGCTTGGCAGTATAAGAAGAGCTTCTTGAATGGCTATGACTTCCGCCTGGAACACACTGCAGTGATCCGGTAGCCTGAAGGCTTTTCTGATGCCAAGTTCTTCGCAGAAGACACCCCCGCCTACGCGGTTATCCAGCTTAGAACCGACTGTATATATTTTGATGGAATTGGTTGGACCTGGCGGGCCGAAGTTCCAATCTTCCCTAGAGGGAATGATGGTGTGGAAAGGAGTATGTGGATACTCCTCTGCGATGCAGTGGTCAGTGACTGATGGGATATTGTCATTTCCCCTCAGAATTTTGGCATGGCCAAAGCATTCTTCTGACCACTGGTTTGTTTCTCTCATGCGAAGAGCCGCCAGCGTGGCGTTCATTTTTCCCATGAAATGTATTGGGAGTATTCCCAGAATTGCATCTAGTGCATCATTTGGAGTAGTGCGTAATGCGCCCGAGATCGTTAGTTCAGCCTGTCGCTGAACTTTGTTAAGTCTCTGAAGAGATGAGTTTTTCGTAAGTGATGGCCACCATATGGAGACACCATATAAAAGTATGGGTCTGATTATTGCAGTATATAGCCAGTGGACCACATAGGGGGCCATGTCCCATTTCAGTCCAATGGATTTTCTGCAGGTATAGAGTGCGATTGTGGCGTTCCGCACTCTGTCTTCAATGTTCAAGTTCCAGTCCAGCTTCCTATCTAGTATCAAGCCTAGATATTTGGCTGAGCTGCTGAAGGATAATGGTACCCCATTTAGTAATGGGGGACGAAGAGATGGGATTTTGTATTTCCTCGTGAATAGTACCAGCTCAGTTTTGCTGGGGCTTACACTTAGGCCACTTGACGTTGCCCAAGTTGAAAGTGTGCTTAATGCATCAGTCATGCGTTCGCACAAGGTTTGAGGAA